ACAGACAGAAGTAAAATAACCCTCTCTACTCCTACTCAAGGTTTACCTGTTGATGCATCCAATGATCACATTCGCTCTTTCGGCCATACTATTGCACTGGAAGCTTATTCAGCTGATTATCCACCATGACCCCCAAAAGGTTTTCAGAGTCATGGCTTCTGAGGATATAGGTTCCCAACCTGTAAGTATGGCCTACAGTCTTTGTTCCTGGATGTATACATTTAGCTGCATTCAAATGCATATTGTTTGCATTAGTGACTCATTCTCTTCATTGTTTAGGATCACCACCAGTTATCCTGGGAGCTGGGTGGAACCTCAGTGAAGTTGGACATGATAAGCTCCATTTGGAATAAGATAGCTAAAACAGTAGGACCACCACCCAAAACACAGGCCATGTGAGAGACTGGGGGCGAGGGTGAATGCAGATACTGTATCTATAATGGTCTGGGATCTGTGTAATAGGATTCCTTCGAAGTGCTACCTCTTCCTGGTACCCCTTTCCTCTCTGTTTCCCCTCAGGCTTTGTGTATCAGACCACCCCAAACTCTTAAATGGCAATGCTCTATGATGGACAAGACTGACCAGTAGGCAGTAATACCTTTAAGGGGTAGACTATCCCATCACCATACCCTAGAGCAGCACCATAATGTAGGACATTTCCTATATTGACAGTTTTTTCCATTGATAGTTAATTCATCTCTCCCAGAAGCAGCTAAGTCCACAGAAGAATTTTTCCACTGACCTAGCCGCATGTATAGTGGAGGTTAGATCAACTGAACTACAGCACTTAGGGTCCAAAATTTTGCACTGCACTGAGCAATCTTGCTAGGTGAATCTAATTTAAGTGTAGACTACTACTATGTTTAAGTAAAACAATACACATCTTGACCTTTTGTAGTTTTAATCCTTTTCTCTCAGATTGCTAACTTTTATGAATCAATAAAACTTTGTTTTGAAGAAAGCATTGTCACTATCTACCACCCTCATCTCTAAGAAAGAAGTATAAGGGAGGGCAAACTCTGGCTGCCAACTGCTGGTAAACAGGGATGCTATAATTGGGAGACTCACCATATAAGTAGGGTGAATCACAGATTATGGGTCTGGCCTTTAGAAGGATGGCTATGGAAAGAGTGAGCAAGGGGGTCACAGATATGGCTTACTTTGGAACAATGACACTATGTAAAAATAGAACAGTGATTTCCAGAAGGTAATTCACAAAATACTGGTACAATCTAGGATTTATTTAAACGTTGAGAATATTTGGCCACTGTTTACCACTATTCATTACTTTTGCCCTTGCACTTTAAATACACATTTCTGGGACACTGGCATTGCTGAATATAGGCTTAAATCAGCTGCAAAGGTTTTTTGTTTCCTTTAATAATGTCATTATTTCACTAATTCTGAATTCAGCATAAAATCCTCAAGGTTAGCCAGGACCTGAATTTCTAGTGGAAAACACAACTGAGGGGAAAAAACAAAACAAATTCCTTAAAAGAGCGAACTTTCAGTGTCTTCAGTATACATCATAAAACAGTAAAAGAAAAAGGTCACAAGCTCTTTTCGGGTCCTTCTCCCAACAGAACATCAAGCATGGTAAGTAGTACCTTTATTAGTGAGAAGGGCACTCATTTATGGCCTACTCCCGGTAACACTTTGTTCTTCTCAGTAGAGAACAGTGTCTGCTGGATCAGGCCCAGAAGCAGTTGTCTACACTAGAGAAATTTTCTCTGAACTTCCCACCATTGCTACAGCTGCTTCATCTCAGTCAGTGTTAGCAATGCTGATTTGCCATCTGACACCACTTAACGTTGTCATGTTTTCTATGGTTAAATAGATTTCACACCATGTAAGGGATATTTGAAAGCAGACAAGATTAAATAGTTTTAAATGCGAGTTGAGAAGAAATAGGAGATACATACTTGGTACATACATCAAGGAGCATGCTGCCTGAAATTCCATTGTCATGAGTCCTTGTTCAGTAAAAGCTGTGCACGTTTGAATTCTAACAGAAGAGATCCCCAGGTCACAAGAATGAACTCAATATGTACCGCCAATAACTAAAGTAATGATGGAAACAATCAACGAACGAAGCTTCACAACACAGCAAAATTAAGTTAGCAAGGTTTTTCATTTGGGATAAGGAGAGGGCATGCAGCAGTAACCTTTAAATGTTATACAGCACCCCCTACTGGTTAATCTGTGAAACTTTATTTTGACTTCAAAGATAACTCTTTACCTTTGTCAGATGAAAAGCATGGGTGCCATTTCAGATTTGGGGAATGGGGGGGGACTTCAACCATGATGCCAGGGGCTACTTAGGAACCTGAAAATTCTCAGAGATTTTTTGCGTGCGTGCGCAGATAGCTAATTTCTAAGTTGTCAGGAGCATTGTATTGAACTCCTATATAAAGAAAAAAAAAGTATGACCACCACTTAAAGCCATATTGTAAATTTATATGAAGTTTAGAACAGGCAGGTGATAATACAGCAAGATATTCCCAAGCCCTAACCTTGAGGTATCAGCTTTGGAGCCTTAACACATATCAGAAACACAAGCTTGATACTTCAAACACTCTTTAGTAGAGAGAAAAAAAATTGCTTACCCCTGCAATTATTTTTAAATGCAGTGGAGGAGAGATCTGAAGCAACTCAGTGCACCTACTTAGTGGAAAAGTAGATGGAGATTTTAAGTATGAACAGGAATGTCAAATTGACAACTTGTTTAAAAAAAATACACAAAGTAGGGACATTTAAATAGCTTTAATCAAAAATAAAGGAGTCTTCATCCAAATCAAAGACACTTGGAATTGGAAGGTCTATTTAAAAGTCAAACTCCTGTTGGATCCCAACCATAACCCAGTGAGAATAATCAGTAGTAACCTCCAGGGCCTGAGCATGGAATCTCCGGTTATGAAGCTAAGTGATTTATTACTATTGTCTAGATTACAGTTCAGACAAACTATATTTAAACCACATTACATAATAGTAAAGGGTTACTGTAATAATAGGCTACAAATAAAGACTTCTATCAATTAATGTTTTTCAAAGTATGTCACTGGAGGAAAATAAAGCTTTGCTTTCTGATCTAAATGAGCTAAACTTGCCAGTTATAACTTTGCTAACTTCAGTGGAATACTCAGACCAATATTGTTAATAAACAAAACAGTCTTCAAAGAGTCTCAAAATTATTTTACAAAAGTTTATTTCCTGTTTTCTAATAGCCTTGGAAAATATTAAAATCAAATTTCTTTCCCGCTATGTTTGATTTGTATATTTCACTCAACTTAGCTAATGAAAACAGCTGTGTGCATTGCCTGTTTATGTATCTATCCTCTAGTTCTTTCACAATACCATAATTTCGAGTTGCAAACATGACATGGAGAATGTCTGAATGGGAACAAAAAACAGCTTTGTGTGTCTGTGTGTGTGCGCGCATGTGTATATATATATATAACATTTGTTAATGTTAGGTTTGGTATACAAATAATTTTAAGCAAACCTACAATATATATGGAGACTAGACTGATTTTTTTTAACTGACATCCTACCAAAGATATTGGTAGCAGTCTTAGGGGAAGGTGATTTATGCACCTCATTGAGTAGGGCATATTAGGGAATCTCCATTCTACACACCAACTTGCCAATTTCAGGCCTAATTCCCCCTTTCTAGTCCCATCTGACTGATGCCAGCAGGCTGGAATCAGTTCCCTAACTATCCTGCTTAGAAAGGTGTTCACCTCCTGACTTCCCAGTCAATGGCTCGACTTCACCACAAGAGCCTCCCAAATGCCAGAGAGGTTCAGCACTGCTTCTAGCCATCCCAAGGAGGCCAAGGATGAGTACCCTGAGCTGGTGTACCGGGGAGATACTGGCATTGCTTTGGCACCCCAAGTGCACCATACAGACACCACTGAATGAGGGATGGGGAGCGCCGGGTCATAGGGAGCATGAGAGCAATTGGAGCCCCACATAGGTCTCTTCACCCAGGAGAGCCCGAGGAACCCTGTGCCTGGGTTGACAGAGGTGCTTCCACAAGTGCAAAGCTGGCTTGGCTGCGAAGTACCAGGCTCTCTCTGTACTGAGCCAACCAGGGAGACGCCCCCTTGGCCACACCACTGGCCAGACTTCTACCTTTTTCAGAGGACTCCTTAAGGTGTAATGCTCCTGTGTGTACAAGTGGCCTCTTTCCCCAGAGGCTCCAGATGCATGGCTCAAGCTGACTACCTGCAGCTGGAACCAAGCGGGACCAGCCAGAGCTCAACTTGCTCAACTCCCCACGTGCCAACAGGCCCAGCCCCACTAAGCCATGGCAGGGGCAGCACAGGAGGAAACATGTTGCAGCTGCCTCCCAGTGCTGCTTCCCACCAGGCAACTGCAGCCATAAATGTGGTCTGGGAAGGCACGGGTGGGGCACTGCCTGGAGTCACCTTGCTCTTCATATGCCTCCTTATGCCCTAGTATGTGAGGGAGAGGAGTATGCTGTCCGAGGAAGTTGACAGATCTGTGACTTCTGAATTTGCATGTAAAATTATCGGATATGAAATAAAACTTGGGGGGCAAGTGCCCTCCCCCCCTCTGTAAATGGTGCCCCTACATAAAAGCAGCTTCAAAAGAAAAAGGAGTAGGAATGAAAGGCTTTAAGTATGTTAGTTAAAATGACATGTTTAATTCAAAAAAATCCACTTGAATATCCTAATTGATAGAATACCTGAGTAGACTTGCAGTTTAAAAACCAAAAAAACCCCAACCCTGACATTTCCTCATCAGATAACTACTCATTTTGTTTACACACTTAAAAATGTTTTACCTATTTCAAGTCCACATTAATGGAACAACAAGCTTTTATGCATACAATAGCGTCCTATCTCTCTCAAATTAGGCACTCCAAAAATATTAAGTGACAATTTAACCATACATCAAACATTCTTTAAGGAGCTCCCTACAGTTAGTGTGTGGTTTCAGATGAGGAATTTATAATAAAAGTACAAACAAGTTAGTTTCTAGTAAGTCTGCAGTTTATTTTACATTGTTTTTAAAAGTCATACTTACGGTAACATACGCATTGCATCCTGCTCAGAAAGTAGAATTTACAAAAGAATTTCAAGAGAAGTGGATTAGTGTTTAAAAAGCGCTCTACAATACAAATATGTAAACAAGTTGACAGTAATTTAATATAACAATAAAAAAAGTTAAAGCTTTTATTTCATTATTTTTAAAGCTACTATATCTTTAGTCTCAGTGCAGACTAAATTGGGGGTTCTTGTAGCATTGCAGAATGCAAGTTCTTGAAAATGTTACAATAGTCCCTTCACAAACATGCATCCTTTACAGAAAAAATATTTTCAAAAAATACTGAAGTCCCAACTGATAAAATCAAAATAAAAAAATATAAAATGCATCTAGTCATGAAATCACTGCTAAATACTTTAACATTTACCTTGTCATTCTGTAAACCAAATTTTTCAGTTTTTCCTATAGTGCTTATCAACTTAAGTTCATTTATGTTTGAGAGGTGTTCAAGATATCCGGTCATCTGATAGGCAGGGAAGTAACAAATAAAATAGTCTACACTGGTAATTGCTTTGCTTTCATGGTTTGCATTAAGTTTTTCAAAGACGCTTATCAACAGTTCACTCTTTAGACTTCTATTAGTGTTTGTACATGTGACCAAGATGAATCCATTAAACATTAATACAAAGTTCAAACATTTTCCAAAATGTATGTTGCTTCTCTGGCTAATCTTGTTTCATCTGGTTTTCAAATCTTGCATAAATTGTGATTTTAAGTAACTAACATTACAAATACTGTAGATGGCAGACAAGTCCAGAGTTCCCTGAAAATGCTTTCTTCTTCTTTATACCATATTTGAGTTATTCTGTTTATAGATTTTAATTTGCATATTGATAGAATAAAGTGCTAGTTTCCTCAGAAGTGGACTTAGATTTCTCAAAAAATGTTAAATAAAAATGTAATAGCTAGAACTGTACAGATCATGTTCAACATTACTCAAACCAAATCCTCAAGATACTCTGCCACCAATGTTTGAAAGACTGCACAATATTTCAGATAATTGGTTGACACAGTTTATCTAGCATGGTAACAGGACAGCCAATAAATAGGTATAGTTTGGTTAAACAATGACTAACAGGACAACGAGCCTACACTTTTGAAGAGTGTAAACTCAAGGAGTGAGAAATTTACCACTGAGTCATGATTAAAAAAAGATTAATTTAACAGAGAAGCATAGGCTGTCAGGAATGACTAGGTAGTGAAAGCTGTTAGATTGAAAAACAGTCTGACAGGAAACAGTCTGAAACAATTCAAATTAGATAGAACAGCATGCAAATACCTTAATTAACATGGGGCTAAGGTTGCCAGCATCCCCATCCTGTAATTCTCATCCCCTTCCAGGATAATTTAATTTCCAGAACTCAAACATTGGAAAACCAGGAATGCAGACAATCGGCTTCTGTTCAGCAGCACAGCACAATGAGTTACTCAGGGCACATCTGCACTACAGACTTAAGTTGACCAAAGTCTGTAAGTTGACTTAACATAGAAAAATTACCATGGTGGCTGATGTCCACACTACCCTCCTTCTGTCAGTGGTGCGCACCTTCACTTGGAGCACTTCCACCAACTGAAGAGGGGCAGTGTGGGGAGCTGAGCCAGGGAGCCTAGCTGCCCCCGGGCTCTCAGCTGGGAGCAGGGAGCAGCTGCCCAGCTTTTCGCCTATCCGCTCACGACTGAGAGCCGGGGCCAGGCTTCTTCGCTCCCTGAGTGGGGAGCAGGGAGGCCCAGGCAAGAGCCAGGCTTTCTTGTCAATTTCACGGCCCAGCATGGAGCCATGAAATTGACAAGACAGCCAACAGCACATGTAAGTAATCCAGTGTCTACACAGGGATTGTGTTGCCCTAACTACACGGACATAAGTGCTATGCCTCTCATGGAGGTGGTATTACTATGTCAGTGTAGTAGGGCACTTACATCGGCAGAACAGGGCTGTAGCGTGTACACTGACATAATTAGGTTGATGTAAGCTGCCTTAGGTCGACTTAACTGTATAACATAGCCCAGGCCTCAGATGAGCAAACCCCACATCACTCTGCGTTGAGTGAGACTATGAACACAGCTAAAGTACCTTCTTACTGAAGTGCTAAACACAAAATGCTCATTCAGTGGTGTAGTGCTAATCAAGTTCTGTTGCAAGTGCAATATGTTATTAAAGTATTTAAATAAGAGGAAGCAAATATGGTAGAAAAGTGATTGAGCCATACTAAGAAAGAGGAGTGAGTAGCAAAACACTGAGAATGGGATGAGAGAGAGGCAAAAAAAGAAAGTGTACCCCCACTACATTTTGTATCTTCAATGGAATAATTATTGGGCCACAAGACCACTTTATTATAATATAAATGTCTGGCTAAATCCTTTTATGGTTGAGATTTTCAAACCAATGTGTCTAAACGTCTGTAGAGATACCTGAATTACAGAAGAAATGCTGCAAAAATGATCTGTGAAGTTACTGAGCTTGGCAAGTCAAGTAAGCCACAGAGAAACCAACCTTAATGGTACCATGTGTAACAGACTATGTGTCATGCATATGGCTGTGCAAGTGTGTTTCAGAGTCTAAGCTTTAATTTAAAAAAGTCTCTAGCCCTTAAAATTGCAAAGACCTTAAAATGTGAAGAGGATGTGAACTGATGGAGTAATTATGTGTGCGTAGGGAGACCACCTGAAACTTCAAATTTGAAAAGTGAGAATTGCCCCATTCCTCTACAAGGAATGTTAATGATGCCTAATGAGAACACCTTTACAACTATCATGTTATCAGAAAATGAAAGCTAATGTTAGCAATTATTGGTGGGTTACAGTAGCAAATATTAGAGTAATGAGATGGGGAAATGAGGAATTCAAATATCAGTCTTTCCAAGTTTAAAGTCACCTCTGCCCATCCAAAGAAGGGACAGGGAAAGATGCACTTCCTCCAACTACGAAAGCCTCAACTGATTCCTGTGTCTTCCCAAGTGTCACAAGGCATGAACATCCCCTCCTACCCTTTTGTTTGGACAACCAGCCTTAACATGCCACAACAGTTACAAGGTTTCAATACAAAAATATGCAGCATACTGAAAGTTTGGGCCTGGTATTAGATCAACTGAATTTATCAAAATAAAGGCTACTATGTTAGCTAGACTAGGATAACCGAGAGAAAGAAAGGATTTAGGAAGGTGGTCAAAAGGAAATCAAAAGGCCCCTGCTGCATGATTTAAGTCTAATGGTCAGCAAAGGACACAAAGCCCAGCCGATGGTGCTCAGATACCATGGCAATAGGAATGGTATAAGAACCTAAGTAGAACAGAATGGCAGAACAAGTCTCTAACAAAAACTGTTGCCCAAGTATGTAAGGAAAGAGACTTTACCCCCTTTATAAAATTGGGACCAGTAACCTCAGTTCTATTTGGTAGCATGACACTGACATCAGTGGTACTATACTCATTTGGGAGAGGGTGGATGTCATCTGGTATGTCACTGAAACTTTTAGTAAAGCTGTGTGAATCTTAGCCCTTTTAGTCCCTTATGGAATGTTACTGGTACCAACTGAAGCGTTTCTGAAACTCCCTTTGCACAATACTCCCACTGTTCCCATCAGTATTGTCACTCTTGTCTATAAAGCTGTGTCTACAGTAATTTCACCTAAATTCCTATAGTTGCAGCCCAACTGATTGTAAGACTAATGTAAACCAGCCCTCATTTTCAACTGTGTCATTTAACTCTGATCAGATGAACTACATGCCACTGTACTGAGAATGCCAGCAGCTGTCCCAAAAGATGCTCACACTAGTGGAGCTGCTCTGCTGGCAGTTACAGTAGGAATAAGAAAAATTCTAGCTAAAACAAGTAGGCTGCACTGGGCCAGTAGAGGGGGTTGCTACTGAATGGGGGAGTGAGGGGTTCCAGAAAGAAATGTGATTTTACTGCCCTCTTACAGTCTCTACTTGCTATATTTCTCTCGTATCTGGGAGAAGGTGCAGGGCAGGAAGTTTTTGGAAGTGATCCTATGACATACCTTCCTTTAAATTGAGAGAGTGACACTTCTGTCAACACTCAATACATTTTAAATTCCATTTAATTTTTAAACATCGTATTTTCCTTCCATCCCTACTGGCTACAGAGATATTTGTATAAAAAACTCACAATAGTATTTTCCTTCCATCCCTATTGGTTAGAGATATTTGTATAAAGGATTTTTAAAATTAAATAAAATCATGATGTCAATTGGGTTACAACATTCCTGACTGAATCAGCAAGAAGACAGTCTTGAAAAGAGCTATTTATACACAAATATCTTAACTTCAGGAATAATGAAAAGTATATATCTTAAACATTTGTCAGAACTCAAGTTTGATATCTAAAAGCTATTCTGAAAAAGAATATTGTAAAATAAGCCTTAGCAAAAACCTATAATCTAGGGCCTGAACAGTCCATCAGATGTGACTGCATTACTCCCATTCATTTCAATGGCAGTTGTACCACACAACTGATAAGTTGATCATATCCCCGATATCTAGCAGATGCTGCAAATTTGTATCTACCACAATTTAAAATTGAGAACTGGCTATTAGTCATAAATCACTTTACATCTGAATGTGCTGGAGAAAGTACTCCTCCTAAAACACAAAAGGCACCTGATGAAATTCTTTAAAGGTTAGTAGCAGTTATCTACAGCATCTTCCGTGTGCTTAAGTAACCAAGAGTAAGATGTGGTAATACAAGGATTAAATTGCTGCCATTTAAAAATACATTGGTGAAATCTGATTTTTTTTTTAAATCACTAACATTACATGGTTATTGTTTTACAGCTGTAGAAGTATGCAAAACCGTTGTACAGATATCAAAGTGCACCTATTAATATTTAAAATATTAGGAAATAAGGTGTAAAAAGTTCTTTTAAGGACATACCAAATATAATTGGCTTTTCCTTTTTCCTTTCCCCACCTTCATTCAACTGTCCTCTAAAACTGTACATTTTTACACAATTATGAAAGCTTTTTCAGGAATCCTGGTTTAGAAACAAATTCAAGTATACCTATTTTTGCATTGTAAACTAGGAAACACTATGGGCTTAAGTTTTGTAAGAGCTCAACACCACCAAGTTCAACTGATGTTAATGGAATTTGCAGCTGTTCAGTTACCTTTGAGAAAAATCAGGCTTCGTTTCTGGCATTCATTAAATTCTTACAAAGTTTAATGAGTGCAGAAACCTAGGATTTTTCCTAGCCACATTTAACTATCAAGTCAAAATGATCATAGAATCATCGAATCTCAGGGTTGGAAGGGACCTCAGGAGGTCATCTAGTCCAACCCCCTGCTCAAAGCAGGACCAATCCCCAATTTTTGCCCCAGATCCCTAAATGGCCCCCTCAAGGGCTCACAACCCTGGGTGTAGCAGGCCAATGCTCAAACACTGAGCTATCCCTCCCTCCCATGATAAGCTATTAAAGATTAGAAGCATTTTATACAGCTATTTAGACTGATAAAAATTAGTCCTACCACCATGCTTAAAGTTTTTATATATACACACAAATCCTGAACACATGATGTGCGAAGTAAAGTTACTTGTAGTACAGCAGTTTGTCTTTAAAGTGTAGTACACTTAAAAATACACCGTAGGCCTCTTCTTTACTTTATATTTTAATGAGCCGTACCGTATCTGAAAGAGAAAGTGGCATTAGAAATCAAGTGTTACCATTTAAGTTGCATAAAAATTACCAAGACAAAAGGTGATTTTTTTAAAAAAAAACAAACATTTGTTATGATTCAACTTCAGCATATTTCAATTCAGTTGCCACAACCAGGTATTAAATAGGATTAGACCACTTGATACAGGACTAGATTAAATAAATTCATCCAGCTATCACAGGGGCGGGCAAACGTTTTGGCCTGATGGCCACATCGGGTTTCCAAAATTGTATGGAGGGCTGGTTAGGGGAGGCTGTCTCCCCGCAAACAGCCAGGTGTGGCCCAGCCCTGGCCTCCTATCTGACCCCCCTGCTTCTCACCCCCGATGGCTGCCCTGGGACTCCTGCCTCACCCAACCCCCCCGTCCCCTGACAGCCCCCTGGGACCCCTGCTCCATCCACCACCTCTGGACTCCCCATTCCTGACTGCCCCCCCCAGGACCCCTGCCCTATCCAACCCCCGTTCCCTGCCCTCTGACCACCCCGACCCCTATCCACACCCCGGCCCCCTGACCACAGCCCCCAAACTCCCCTGCCCTCTATCCAACCCCCCGGTCCCCTTACCGCACTGCCTGGAGCACTGGTGGCTGGCGGTGCTACAGCCACGCTGCCCAGAGTGCCAGGTCAGGCTGCGGCTCTGCAACTGCGCTGCCCGGCCGCCCAGAGCATTGCGCCGACGGCACAGCGCACTGAGGCTGCGGGGGAAGGGGAACAGTAGGGGAGGGGCCAGGGACTATCCTCGCAGGCCAGGAGCTCAGGCGCCAGGCAGGAGGGTCCCCACAACCCAGATGTGGCCCGCAGGCCATAGTTTGCCCACTTCTGAGCTATCATGACAGGGACTGAACATGTTACTTGTTAAGATCTTACAGCAGTCATGAAATTCCCAGAGAGTGGTTTACAGAATGTGCCCTTCTGCCCAGGAGCCTCTTGTATGGGATTCTGATAGTACAAAACAGAACTTATATATATAGGGTTACTAGGAAGTTGTCTGAGGAGGCAGGATGCCAGTACCCAGCTGTTTATCTCGCCTGATTCCACCAATGCTATTACATGCCTTACCCAAGGTTAGGTAGAGGTTGGGGCATAGAGGACTAGCTGATTGAAAGTCAGCAAGACCAAGATATATTGGCAGGCTGGAGAAGTAACCAGAATATATACCCTCTTACTTGTGGTTATGTACTGGCCATCTAATATTAAAATTCATTGCCTGGTGACACTGCTGGACGCCCAGCTGATGTTACATAGCCATCCAGTAGCGAGAATATTTATTTCAGCTACAGCTGGCTTGAAACATGGAGCCATTTGTTTTGTATAAAGAACCTGCTGTTGCCATCCATGCATCTGTTACCTCCAACTCAGATTATTGCAGCAGGCTTTACTTGGAGCTTCATCTTAAATAAACTCAGAAGCTAAAGTGTAAAATGGCATAGTCCATAGCAGCTCACTCGGTAAAAAGGTATTTGGAAACACAATGCCAGTACTCTAGGATCGCTCTGGCTGCATCTTGATTTCCAGACAGAATTTAGAGTGATGTTCTGAGTTACAAAGCCCTAAATTACCTGGGATGTGTATATGTGAGAGACTGCCTTTCCCCCTTTTGTTCTGGTGCTCGAGCATGAGACGGGGCTGTCAGCCAGGCATTCTCCATGAGGGGCCCTCAGCTTAGAAAGCTACTCTTTCCCTTTCCCACCTCCATTTGCATCTAGAACAGGCCAAAATTTGTTGACCTTCAGGATGTGCTGAAAAACCCAGACTTCTGAATGGCAGAAATGTTGTTGTGAAGAGGGCTGCCATGTGTGTTTACGTTGCAGTATTACTGGTTTGTAATTTGTTTGATGATGCTCCTGGTTTCCCATTGTATCTTTAAATCTGTGTGAAGAGCATGTAGAGCCCTACATAGGATCTTTTTTTCCCTCTTTGCGTTATAAATCGAAGTACAGTGTTTATTGGCACTTGTTCAAAGTATCCATAGGATACAACAAAAATGTGAATGGTCCTATCCCTTATAGGATCCCTGTATGCATAGTGAGGGGCTGTATTGGTGTATCAACCACACCTCAAGTGAGATGTCATGACAGTAGGCTCCCTCCCTCCAAGCTGTTTCTAGACTCTGGGCCTGTAGTTCCACCATTACTATGATAATTACACATTTGAGAGATGATGCTCAGAGATAAAGAGCTTAATCTCTTTTATTCAATTATATTTATATGTTCAGTAAGTTTTTTCCCTTTGTCTTGTATAGTTGACGAGCTTATTCTTCTCTCGTTTCCCTTTAGAAGACAAACAGGAGTGGTGGCTTTTTGGAACGCAAGTACACTTGTGTTCCACATTCCACTTACAATTTAGAACCACCCTATGTCCTTTATAAATAAAATATTCTGATCTCTTGGACTATTATATTTGCAAATTACATTGTTATTAATGGAATGCAATACTTTCAAGTAAAACGCTGCACTTACCTCTTTATGACCTTTAATACTTTTCACAGATTTCATGCTTTGTGATCGTCGGAGACCCTTCTGAGCAAACAACTCATCTTCTGAATGAGTCCCCTCCATTTCCTCATCTGTTTTATCATCTCCAGAATCTTTTTTCAATGGAATTCTGTAACCTAAAATAAAGCACATCAGGCAAAAGTTTGTATGCCATAAGTCTGTATAAATAGCGGTAGCACAAACTTTAAAGTAAGTATTTGTAGAGAGTGCAAATGAGGACATTCAGGAAAGTTAAAGCTGTTTCTTAACTCAGGTGCTATAAGAGCTTTTCAATTTATTGAATTTTGCTGAAAAAACATGAAAATTTAGTCCATTTTAGCATGTACATTCTTTATTCATCTAAAACACAAATCATAGCTATGTGGAAAATCCATCAATTGCCATCTGTTTCAAGATAGGAGGGCAAACAATAGTACACTATAAAAATGTCAGGCAGCGCAAAAGCCATTCATTGGCCCTTAAAACTAATCCTTAAAACTATGCTGGCCATGATACAGTGATCTCCTTTAAGTTGTCTCCACTGGCAGTGTAATTGTTTATATAGTGAAAATCAAAGCTACCCTACTACCATTTGCTGTTTTCCTGGAGGAGTTTTCTTGAGTCATTGCAGTTTGGGATTAACACCAAATACTGCACACACATGGCAAGTACAGAGCTACCTTTTAAGAAATACTTGAAGTTTCAAATCAGTTTTTTTTATTGCTGTTTTAAGGAGACATTTTTTAAATGAGCTATTTCAATTTTCAGATAAAAAAATCCTTTATGTAGCACATCCTGAATAGAGAAAAACCTACCATGGTTAAATGACAAGGTTCCAGAGATTGTTCAAGACAGACAGACAGGTAATCTTAAGAAAATGGAAATGCAGTCCTAATAAAGCCAATAGAAAGCAGCGTAAACTATGGCAGGCAAAAAGTAAGATGGAAGGTAGAAGGGCTACGATAGAACTTGAATAGTCAAAAATATAAAAGAAGAAATTATGTCAGGAAAAACAAATAGTTACCTACCTTTTCGTTACTGTTGTTCTTTGAGATGTGTTGCTTATATCCATTCCAAGTGGATGTGTGCGTGCCACGTGCACAGTCATCAGAAGGTTTCCCCTAGCGGTACCAGTCAGGTCAGCTTAGATGTCCCCTGGAGTCACGTTGTCATGGTGCCGCATATAGGTAGGTCCCTGCCAACCTGCTGCCTCCTCAGTTCCTTCTTGTCGGAGGCTCCAACAGAGGGGAAAGCGGGTGGGTCTTGGAATGGAAACAAGCAACATATCTCGAAGAATAACCGTTACAAAAAGGTAAGTTGTGTTTTCTTCGAGTGCTGCTTCATGTCGATTCCAAGCAGGTGACTCCCAAGCAGACTGTCAGAGGAGGGTCGGAGCTCATGGATTCGCTGAAAAAGTACCCTTCTGACAAAAACGGAATCATCCCTGGCATGCTGGATGAAAGCTGTATCGTCCCTGGGATGCTGGCATAATGCAAAGTGAATGTGTGGATTGACGGCCAGGTTGCTGCCCTGCGCACATCTCCTGCATAGAGACTTATGCCAGGAATGCGGCCGAGGAGGCCTGCGTCCTTGTGGAATGCGCTGTTAGCGCTGGGACTGGCACTTTCACCAGGTCTTAAGCTCAAATGCAGAACGTGATCCATGATGAAATTCTTTGGGATGATACAGGGAGACCCTTCATCCTGTCTGCTAGAGCGGCAAAGAGCTGGTTAGACTTTTGGAACTGTTGGGTCCTTTCAGCATAGAAAGCCAGTGCCTGCCTGACATCCAGAGAGTAGAGCCTTTGTTCCCAACTGTAAGCATGTAAAACACTGGGAGGAAGATGTCCTGACTTGCGTTAAACTGAGGTACTACTTTTGGCAGGAAGGCTCGGTGAGGCTGCAACTAGATCTTGTCTTTATAGAATGCCATATATGGAGGCTCGAATGTCAAGGCCTTGAGCTCAGACACCCTCCTGGCTGAAGTTATCACTATCAGGAATGCTACTTTCCACAAGGAGGTAGAGGAGCGAGCATGTTGCTAAGGGCTCAAAGGGAGGTCCCATTAATCTGGAGAGCACCAAGTTAAGGTCCCATACTGATATCAGATGGAAGACTGGAGCATATAACCTGTCTAGGCCCTTGAGAAAATGACCTACCATCGGACCTATCAAAGATCGATCAACCGTCCACCCCGGGTGGAACTCCGAGATGGCTGCCAGATGAACCTTTAGGATGACACCAGACCTGACTGCTTCAAGTACAACAGACAGTCCAAGATGAAGGGTATTGATGCTTGAATCGGAGATGTGCCCTTTTGTGTCACACAAATCGAAAATCTCTTCCACTTGGCTAAGTAGCTCTAATAGACAGCTTTTGGCTGCCAAGAAGGACCTCCCCGACAGATGCTGAGCATGCCAACTCCATGTGGTTTAGCCAGGAAACTTCCACGCTGTGAGGTGGAGAAACTTGAGGTCGGGACGCTGGAGGCAACTGTGGTCTTGAGTGATGAGGTCCAGGACCTATGGCAGGGTGATCGGAGAGGCTACTGACAGTTCCAAGAGTGTTGTACACCAGTGTTGGAAGGGCCAGGCCAGTGCTATCAGGATGACTGATGCTGTCTCTTCTGACCTGGAGCAGGATCTTGTGAATGAGTGTGTGTGGCGGAAGACATGCATAGAACAGACAGTCCTTCCACGGTGTCCGCATTTGAGCCTGGGCTGTGATTCAGGAAGGAGCAAAACTGCTGACACTTCCTGTTCAGTTTCATCGCAAACAGGTCCACCTGAGGAATTCCCCACCATTGGAAGATGCTGTTCACAATGTCCGGGCGAATCAACCACTTTTGGCCTTGGAAGGATCTGCTGAGGTGGTCCATCAGCTCATTCTAGGATCCCCGAAGTTAAGACACCTCTAGGTGTATTGAGTGAGCTATGCAGAAGTCCCATAGCTGAGGGCTTCCTGACATAAGGGAGAAGAGAGCTCCACCCTGTCTCTTTTATATAGAACAAAGATTGGTGTTGTATTGTCCATCATAACTGATACACACTTGCCCTCCAGGTGGGATTGGAAGGTTTGATAGGCTAAGCGAACCGGTCTCAGCTCTCTGACATTGATATGGAGTGAGTTCTTCTTGAGACCAGAAGCCTTGTATCCTGAGGGCCCCTAGATGCACATCCCATCCCAACATTGAAGCATCCGTGGCCAGCGACATCGATGGTTACCACCTGGAGAAGGGCACTCCTGCACAACTGCCTGAGGGTTGAGCCACCACTGGACGGATTTAACAACCCGAGTAGAAAGCGAGACTACCCTGTCCAAGCTGTCCCTGCTTGGACAGCATACTGAAGCCAGCCATATGTGCAAGTGGCCATGTTACTGAGCAGCTTCAAGCAGCTCGGTGCTGTCGTGGTGGGGAAAACGCTGAGTCTCCTCTATGATGGGACACATGAAAGCGCAACTCTGGCAGGAATGCCCTGGCTTGGGTGGAGTCTAGGCCTGCTCCTATAAACTCTATCCTTTGGTTTGGGGATAGGGTGTACTTGGGCATATCCAGCAATAAACCCAGACATTTGAAGGTCAGTTGCATCAGATGTACATGTGCCTCTACTTGAGCCCTGATGTGGCCCTTGACAAGCCAGTCAATGAGACACAGGAACACCTGTACCTGCCGTCTTCTCAGGAAGGCGGCCACGACTGTCACACATTTGGTGAACACCTGAGGGGCCACTGACAGGCCGAAGGGAAGGACTGTAAACTGTACAATTCACTACAAACCTGAGAAAGTCTCTGGGATGGGACTATCAATACGTGCAAGTATGTGTCCTTCAAGTTCAGGGTGGCATACCAGCCCCCTGGATCCGGGGAGGGGATGATGGTAGCCAAAGAGATCATGCTGAACTTCCATTTCTTCATGAATCTGTCGAGAATGGGTCTCAGACCCTCTTTGGCTTTGGGGTTCAAGAAATATTGGGAGTAAAAACCCTTGCCCCTTAGGTCCTGAAGGACCTCCTCTACCACTCCTGAGACTGGGAGCCTTTGCACCTCCTGCATGAGATTGTTTGTGAGAAGAGTCCCTGAAGAGGGACATGGAAGGGGGATGGGAAGGAGGGGAGAAGCAGAATTGGAGAGAATAGCCCATGTCTACGGTGCAGAGAAAACTCAGCATTCTGAGGTTATCTGGACCCACACAGGATAGAAGGGGGATAGACTGTTCAGAAAACAGGGAGAAGGATCCAGTGACTGGACTGGTGCATCGCCCCTGGGCACACCATCGAAGAGGCATGCTTGGAACCGGAGGACTGCCTCTTCAAGCCCTGGCCTTGATTGATCTGTTATTCCTTCCCTGCTTCCTGGAGAAGTCCTGCTTAGGCTGGGGAGGACAGGAATGCGGGGGAGGTTGGGCCTTAACATGCTTTCTCTGGGTAGCCGGGGTGTATGCAGTCCCAGGGATTTAAATGTAACCCTTGCATCCTTTAGGCTATGGAGTTTGGAGTCCTTCTGCTCCGAAAACAACCCCGAGCCATCAAAAGAACAGGTCTTGGATTGTCTGGGGAACCTTTGGGAGGAGGCCTGACAGCTGAAGCCACAAACTTCTCATGGCTATGGCGGAGGACATGATTCACGTGGCTGAGTCAGTTGCATACAGGGAGACCTGCAATGAGGTCCTTGCCCCTGACTTGCTCTCCTCCACCGCAGCTGCAAACTCTGTTCTAGAGTCTGTAGGGATCAGCTCCTTAAACTTCGTCATGCTATCCTATGAATTGAAATTCTAGCAGCTCAAGGTTGCTTGCTGGTTAGCAATCTGAAGCTGGAGTCCGCACTCCCACCCCTGGTGGAGTACACCTTTCTGCTGAAGAGGTCCAGCTTCTTCGAGTCCTTGGATTTTGGAGTTGGGCCCTGCTGCCCCTATCTTTCTCTCATTCGCAGCTGCTACCACCAGTGACCTCAGATGTTGATGAATAAAAAGGTATTCGTACTCTTTTGAAAGTACAAAAGATTTCCTTTCTATCCATTTAGCTGTACGTGGGATAGAGGCATGAGTTTGCCACAAGGTCTTAGTGGTGGCCTGGATAGTTTTTATGAGGGGTAATGCCACCCTTGAGGGCCCCTTGGTGCTAAGACGTTCACCATGGGGTCCACTGACTTGACCACTTCCTCGGCCTGGAGACCCATGTTTTGGGCCACCCTGTGCAACAGCTCCATGGGCTCAATTGTCAATGGGGGTGGGAGGGTAGCGCAAAAAGACCACCACCTCTCCACTGCCTCATCGGCAGGACGATGACAAGGATACCCTGGGCATTACCGGGCCCTTCTGACCCCCAGCTTTCATCCTGCACAGTGCCCTGTTTGGTGCTGGGAATGGTCTCAGTGCCGGCATCTGCACAGGCATCTTCTTCAAGGTCCAAAGCTGTCTTTGTGCCTCATGGTAGGAGAAGGTCCCGGGGCGGTTAAAGGGCATGCCCTTCTGAAGCGACAGACTGGGAGCCCCTGGAATACGTACCCTGGGCCTGATGGTATGCCCACGGGGTCCAGAATGGCCATTCCTTGGGCCTCTGCCACTGCACCGGCCACGGTACCATGGTGGGTGGCTTGACCTTCCTATAGTGGCGCCATTCTGAACTTTGCTGGCCACGCCTTGAGTATTAAGACTCTGCCTCGGAGTCCAGTGAGTGACTCCAAGCACAGACACCACAGCAGTGCCAAGTGGGACAGTGCTGGGGAACGGTGCTGGGGGGCAGGAAGAGGAAAGAAGGCGTGCGGTGCTCCATCACTGCTGGCTTGCCCCTGGATGGCGCCATACCTTGTGGTGCCAGAGGTCTTTCTCACCTGGCAGGGGACGGTGGTGCCATCATGGCCGCCTCGAATGTGTCTGGGGTGGAAGGGAGCTCCAACTCCTCCACCTGGCACTCCCTAACAGGAGAGTCCACTGGTGCAAAATTCTACGGACCCCTTCTTGTGCCTCTGGTCAATGCCAACTGTATATGTGGACTTCGGTGCAGGGAGTGACAGTGATGAGAGTCTCTATGCGTAGAGTCCTTCCTCAGTGCTGTAGCGCCTCTAACAGAGGCCAGTGCACTATGCACAGAGGTGCTGGGTGCCGTGTCCTGCTAGCCTGGAGCCGGTTGGGGACAGAGGGCTGACTCCATGATGAATTGCTTGAGGCTGAAGTCCCTTTCTTTTTCAGTTCCAGGGTGGAATCCTTTGCAGATCCTGCAATGATTTGTTTGATGGGATTCCCCAAGGCACTTTAGGCAGGAATCATGGGGATCACCCTTTGGCATAGGTTTGTGGGAGGTCCTGCACAGTTTAAACCAGGGGTCTCACACTCAATTTATCTTAGGACCAGTGCCAGTCCTCAAACCTTTGCAGAGGGCCAATAATGTCACTCATGCCACCCAGAACCTGCCCCACAAAACTCCATTCCCCCCCAAACTCTGCCCCCAACCTGCCTATGGCTTTAGGAGGGAGTTTGGATGAGGGAGGAGGTCTGGGGTAGGGGATTGGGGTGCAGGCTCTAGGACGGAGTTGGTGCAGAAGGGGTGAGAGGTTGGGCTCTGGGAGGGAGTTTGGATGGGGGAGGGTCTGGGGTGCAGACTCTGGGATGGAGTTTGGGTACTGGGTGCAGGCTCTGGGAGTTTGGGGGGAGGTGTGGGGAGGGGGTGGGGACAGACTCTGGGAGAGAGTTGGGGCGGGAGGGGGTATGTCAGGAGGGGTGGGGTGCAGACTCTGGGAAGGGGTCGGGGGTGCGGCACTTACTTGGGGCTCCAAGACGGGGCGGGCCGGGGGGTCTCCATGCACTGCTTCCCCAGGCACTGCCCCCGCAGCTTCCCATTGGTCGCAGGAGTGCTCAGGGCGGGGGCAGCACACAGAGGCAGAGCCCCGCCCCACCCCGGGGGGGCCCCAAGAGCCACATGGAGCGAGCAGGAAGAAGCTGCTCAGCTCCGCTGTGCGGCCGATGGTGGGCGGGGCCCCGGGCCATTGTAAATGGCCCAGGGGACACGCCGGGGGTGGGGTGGGGGGGGCGCGCGCAGAAGGCAGGGCCAAGGGATAGATTCGACCCCAAAATTGCTGGGTCCTCGCGGGCCACATCGGAGAGATTCTCGGGCTGCAGATGGCCCGTGGACTTGGAGTTTGAGACCCCTGTTTAAACCCTTGGGATCGAGACATACCCTGAACTCCAAGAAGGGAAACTCCCCCCTGAAAATTGGGGGAGGCGAACACAAACTAACTATAACTAATACTAAACTATTTAACGATTTACAGGTTTGGAGATAAGAGAAATCACTAGAGAACTGCTTGCTGAAGCAAGAGAAACAGGTCCAACGACAGTCACTGGCAGTGGAACTGAGGATGTGGAGGGTTGGTATTGGACTTCTGTGCGGCGCCATGAAGGAGCAACTCCAGGGGGTGCCTCAGCTGACCCAACGGGTACCTTCTGATGACTGTATGTGGCATGCGCACACCTACTTGGAATTGACATGAACAGCACTTGAACATACATACATTTTTGGTTAACTGCACTGTTCTTGAGGGTTTAAGAAGGCTTACTTTTTAAATATATGTACTCAACCTTACTGATGTTTTGTATTTGGGAATATATATTTAAAAGAACAACCCACACCACTAGCCTCCCTACCCCAGTATTAAGGGATTTGCAGTTCGAGATCACCTTATAAGATTTAGAACAGGCAAGCTCCTAATACAAATCATTTTTCAAATTTCTGTGCATAGAGGTAAGTGCAAGACATCCTTATCTCTATAAACACAGTGCCAAAACTTGTTTCCACTCAGGTATAGTATCTCCTGTTAGCTACAGAAATAGGATCAAAACTTCTTTAAGAAAAGGAACTCCTGTTTAAGCATTGAGGAAAAGGACAACAGGTCCCTACCTTTTGCATGCAGAGTGCAAATTATGACTGTACCTACCCTAAATTTAACTGAGTTATTAAGATTCTCACCAGAGGACGCAGCTGTTTCCAATATACAATTTCAAAGCTTAGCTACGACCTTTCTGAAACATTTTATTTTGTATCTAGAAATAGAAAATACATATAAAATGCAAAAAACAAACAAGTAGATTACTAAATGGATCAAGTTTAACAAGACTAAATATTTTACGATTTAATAATACAGATAATTTAGATGAAACTAATTTGTATTAGGATAAATGTTCATTTACTCAAACAGGATTGTCAAACAATTCAACAGATAATGTATTAGTTATCTAGAAACACCATGTACATAGCAGCTGCATCACCTGTAATACAACCATATGTACACATACAATAGGAATTTGTAGGCTTTTCCACTGACCAACTCTCATATTTTATTTAGATGACGGTCTCTATGCCAGGCACTTCCTGGGAATTGATCCTCAGCTCAAGCTAATGTTATCACCTGCTCCAGATAGCTCTTAGTCCCCAGGAAATGCCCTGTATGGATATTATTTAAATAATGAAAGCCTTTTTCATGTAATACTTACCTTCGGCTTTTCAATACTTAAATCAGGGGTAGTCTATTTTGTGTCAAGGTCCAAATTTCTTGGTCAAAGATATAGTCAAGGTCTAGCCTCCAGAGAAAAATAATAATAATCATAATAATAAACCGACACTAATGATAAGTAAATGAAAAGATTTTGGGGTCCTTTCAAAAGCATCTGGCGGTCCGGATTTGGCCCACAGTCTGCCTATTGACTACCCCCAACTTAAATGAAACAGAAAGGAGGAAAATAAAGCAGAACTATTCCTTTGTAAGAGGCAGCAGCTATTTTTTTATAATTTTGGTCAGACTTCAGCTATAAGTAAGGCTACAATTATGTCACGAAGTCATGGAATCCGTAATTTCCACTGTCCTCTGTGATATTTTCTGCCCCGGGGCTGGAGCTCCCAGCCACCTCCTCAGCTCCCACCCCCAGCCCTGGTGGGGATCCCGCAGCAGCCCGGCCGCAACAGGGGGACCCTGCAGCTCCCAGCTGCCCTGAGGGCAAGGGGACTCCACAGCAGCCCAGCCCCACAGGGAGGGGACCCCAGAGCTCCCAAGCACCAGAGAGGTGGGGGACCCAGGAGCCCCAGCAGCACTGTGTGCTGAACCCGCCTACCTGTTTTGTCAGGGATATTTTTAGTGAAAGTCAGAACAGGTCACGGGCTCCCGTGAATTTTTGTTTATTGCCTGTTACCTGTCCAGGACTTCTACTAAAAATATCCATGGCAAAAACTTAGCTATAAGGGATGATTTCTACCCTTCTGAACTTTTTCATTTTCTTTAAAGTAGCGCAGAGATTCATAAGTGCTATTCATTAATAATGGAAGTTGTGATACCTTCCAGAAACTTTACTATTTAATCTACAGTGTCAAAAAATTCTGGAAAACCACCTGTTAACTTGTGCATTTGCACTTAAGATACAGCACAGAAACTGAAATGCTGTGTCACTAAGTACTATTCTTCACTCCCAAATTTTAATTTTCCTATGGCAGCTCCTCAATGGACTAAAATTACTTTTGTTGCTACAAGCATGTTCACTTTTTAACCATCTTTTTAAAAAGCCTGTTACATTCACCCTTTTTTCATTAGTTTGTTCTCTTCCGATTTACTTAATTGCCACAACTTTTCACATGTTCCATGACATCAACAGTGACAATTATGGGTAGCATCCAATAAATCTGACTTGCACGTCAGCATTTCTTTTACTTATTTATTTAAGTTAGCAACACAAACCACAGACTCAACAAGATAGATAGCAAATAGATTATCCTCATATCTCCCCCAGTAGAGCCACGAAGGGAAAAGAACCACCAAGAAAAGCGTTCAGAAGCTCAGTTTTGATGGATATAATCCTAGTTGAAAACACTGCATATCAAACCAGATCTATTCAAATTTGCAGGAAGAGATTGGGGTTTTTTCCACCACAAATATTTAAGAGAATAAAAAAGTTCTGCTCTTTCCACTTCCTGGCTTTTACATATCAGAATTTAACATGAGTACCCCAAAACTTTAACAAGATACATACCCAGAGACTCATTGACAGAACTTTTCGTTTTCTTTTTGATTTCAGGTAAAGTCTGATAGGATCTTTGTCCCACTGGCTCATCTCCTTGAATAGCTGTTAAGTCATGCATACTGAAACTTCTCAACCGTTCAGTTATTGCACCTTGACCCTGGAACACAATGATAGCACTTTTCAAGAAAAAAATGGAGAAAACTTTAGATTTGCTCTTCAAATTGAGGTAAGGTTAAGTACATGCTTTCTTGCTGTATTACAAAATTCTCTTAACAGAGTCATGCAGTAGATGTTCATTTGTTTTAAGCAGCATTCATGTTTGTGTTTTTTCTTCACGTAAATATTGTGACATACTATGGACACATGGAATATTCAAGACTATCAACTTTATAAATGTTACGTGTGTCTTTATGGGATTGTATTCTGGCTCCACTGGAAAATTACAGGAGCTTCCTGCAGGAACTAAAGTCACAGGGCAAACCCTTAGACAAGGAACAAGTCTGGAGAAGCTTTGCCCTCTAGGGAGATCGTATATACTGGCACGACCTCATTAAACAGGCTGTCAAAGAAATAACAAAAAACTATACAACGTGACCACCCTAACATGGGGAGAGAGCTCATTCCCCTTGATCCAAGAACTGACAGACTTCAGACTGGGCCCAGAGGGGCTGGCCCTCTGAGAGGACCTGAAGTACTTTAAAAATCTGCTAAGGTGCCCATGTGGAAGATGGGTGACACCTGGGAAACCAGACATGCATGTAAGCAGTTTATTGTTTTTAAGATGTGTTCTCTACAATGCTTTTGTTCCAAATAAATACTTGGCTTTACAAAGGCTGACTGGTCACAGATTAACTCTGTCATTGCCCCTGAGAGACCAGGACTGTAAGTGCTAAACTAAATACAGACCTGCTGAGATGATCACAGTGAACTGAAGAATTGCAGCCTAAATCCGCAGTCTAGACAGAGAGAGTTGTGGGACTCCGCCCTAAGAAAGATAATGGCTAGAGGCCTGATTTTTAGTGGGGTACCCTGAAGGAGGCCACAAAGGGGTCAGAGGTGCAGTTACCCTGAGAACTGTGACAAGGAGCATTTTGTTCAAGCTTAGCATTAGACTATACCTTGTAAAAGGAATTTTTAAAAATCATGAATTAAGTTAGTAGTCCCAATTCCTAATGCTTTTGGACACTGCTTTTTATTTCTGATTTATTTATTCCTTATTCTAGGTGGATTAAAAGAGATTTTTCCCCAAAAAAAGCCTTTAATGCCCAATCCATCAGACAATGTACCACCTAGTACCACTTTTCAAATATATCTGAATGTAGTTGTAATAGCCCTTTAATTAAAATTACCAAAACATATTACATAAAGATGTACTTGTACTTGTTTCTCCACAGTATGAAAAGTATTTGATACAAATATCAATCAATAAACATGCTGATAAGATACTATACTTTTATCCTATATACACATTAGTGTGTTTTGCCTAGGGTCACCCTTGTGTCTGTGCATTGCAATACAATCTGCATGCAGTGAATGAGGCAAAGGAGATATATTTTTATCACTGATCAATAAGTAGACCCCAGCTTCAATCACTACACAATACCCAATCTTTGCAGTGAGGGACCCAAAATGAAGAACAGGCCCACACGAACACCCATTTACAATCTAAACTCTTTCACTAAGCATTACCTAATTATTTCTGTGGAACTAATATAATATATGACGATGAAATGGACAACTGTAATGCACATGCACAGAGAAGAACTAGAGTTGCAATCCTAGTATTTAATGTTTCCCAATTTTAGTAATCTACTTTGCTGCTATATTTTTCAGTGTAGGTTTTGGATAGAACTTTTAAGTTAATTTTCAAGAGAACATAGAAAAAGCAGAAGTGTTTGGCAGAGAGGAAGGTAATGCTGTGTCCTATGAAAGCTGTGCACTCAGTGAGACAAGGGCTCTTGTGGAGCACTGCCTCACTCAATGTGCATATAAAAGATGATACAAAATGGCTCCATCAGGGCTCCTTCATCCCATATATACCCTCCAAGATTGAAAATGTCAATCAACTTTGTTCTGCAGATAGCAAATAAAACATTGGAAATCTTTTTTTGTTGTTGTTAAATGAATAGGTCTTGCAAATCCTTAATTACATTTTACGGAACACAGAGGATGAAACTGGAATAACTTTCATATACTATTGGAAAACAGTGACTGTGACTTACTACACACGTTCACTGTGTGAAGCACAACAGGTCCCTATCCTGATTGGGGCCTCTAGGCACTGCTGCTAATGAACAATAATGAAGGAGCTACTGAAGAAACAATTCCGTGGCAGGCCAATATTATTCTTCATATCATGATACAATGGAACCCAAAATGACAGCCAAAAAGCCACTTCTAATTACTAGAATTTAAAGGTCACAAAATGATAAAAGATATTTAATAGAAAAATATTTTTTAAATAATGCATTCATAAGGATCAAGTCTTTTCTCTCTCTGCAGCTCAAATTTCCACAGGAATATTAGTTTACTACATGATGAAATACTCTTAAATCCAATTCTCAACTACACACACACACACCTGTGACTTAGTTGATAATTTGTTAAACTCTCACTAATTATCTTCCAGCATGGTACTTCCCACTACGCTGCCCAAAAAGCATAACACCCCTCTTCAGGTCTCAGACACCATGATTTTGTAACAGTGGCCTGGCTAATGTATTCAAAGGCAACAGGAAGCCTTTAACCAGCTCCAGGAGCTGAGCTCCCTGAGTATCCGCAGCTGTGCTGTTTTGCCAGTCTACACCTCTGACTCCTCCTGCTCCCTAATTCTGTCTCTCTGACTCCCTGGTGCTTGGTCCATGGAACACTGCAGGGAGAATATACTGTAATTAACTCCCTCTCGTGGAAAGTTGGAGAGGAAGAGGCAGCTGCAGGCAAATCCTGGCAGGCCAGGGCAACAAAGGAAAATTTTATCTGCAGCAAATCGATGTATTCCACAGTAAAAGTGCTGCAGTGTAAAGTCCATGGTATCTTGGAAAAATGCCAAATTCTGCAATTTCAGACTCCATGAGCTCCTGATTAAACTACCCCATTCATCTCACATCTCTCACAGCTACTGTTACAGACTCTCTACAGACACAGGCAAATATTGCTGAATCAGTTTACATGGCACATTTTCAAGGCTATCTCCACATAAAGTTTAAAATTCTCTTTTAAATGAATAAAGATTTTTGAAGCACAATTCCACATGAAGGGGTTAATTACACAGTTATGAAATCACTGAAAACCTGGGACACCAAATATACCCACTAAATAAAAGATTAAAATACAAGCCTTGTATTTAGGGCTTCCTCACCACAGTGCACTGCTGCACATATTAACCCATGCTTGTGTTTTGTTTTAATTAGTTTCTTAAAATGTTATGACTGTGTGACACCTTTATGATTCAAAATCCAGGAAGAGAGGTGCAGGCAGAGCTTTGGGTTCAATATCACTATCCATTCCCCGCACACAAGTCGACATGTAACAGCCTCTCAGATGATATATTTAAAATAGCTGACATGCTCTGGTAAAAAGCATGTGGTCACTGCACACAGACTAGCTTCACAAAAACCTGACCAAGGGCACCTCTAGACTAAGAAAATTGACTGTTTTAATTTGTGTTAGCTAATGCAGGTTAACTAACAGTGGTTGAAACATCAATTAGCACCTACTGTAAACAAACAGTGATGTTTAAACACTTGTTAGCTGGTGGTGATTAACCTTGGGGATTGAAGGGGGTGCATGCCTCAGTATACCTTCATGTTGTTTACTTAAGACGGAAAATGTAGCTGTGTCGTCTAAGCTCTTCCTTGGGACAAAAGCAATAATTTTGTCCAAGGCCTTGTTTTCAGGAAAAATTTTCCCTGAGCTATACAGTGGAAAGAGTAAGCCTATCCCATTAGGCTGAGATTAGTACTGAACAGAAGGAGAGGTGCCTGTGATGTTGCAGCCCTATGTTCCCCTTATCTATGAAAGGCTTTGGCTGCTGGAGTTCTTCACCAAAAGCAGTCCTACTGAAAGGTTAAGTGACCAATCTGGCCTTAAATATCTGATCAGCCAACCGCTGCTTCAGCCAAAGAAGCCTTTCTACTGTTATAAAGGCCACTATGGTTCTCAACATGGTCCTAATGATGTATGTAAAGTCTGACAAAGATGAAACTGCAGACTGATCATAGCAGCCTCTGAGACAGTTTCAACTGTTTAGCCCTCCCAAATGCAGCTGAGTATTCCTCTAAAGCAGGATAAAACAGGATAAAACGTTTAGATAGCCATATCAAAAACTTGGCCAGATAATTCAAAATGATCTCCCTGCATGACCTTGGGCAAGTCACTTATCTCTGTGCCTCAGTTTCCCCGTCTATAAAATGGGATTTTAGTATTTTCCAACCTCACATGATACTGTGAGGGTGAATACATTGAAAATTGTGAGGTGTTCAGATACTAGAGTGATGGAGCCATAAGTACTGAAGATCTCTCTTCAAAAGTAGACTCAACCTTTGTTGATTTGCCCTGAGGTAAGCACCCAATTCAACAGAAATTTTTGTCCACATGATTCTCCAGACTTCTTGAGGGAGGCGATTCTCATTTACCAGCCAAGTGCAACTATCCTTGCATCAGCCTCTGGGGATCAACGTGGGTAGAGGCTGGAAGGCAGATATACTAAATGCACAAATATACAAGAAGTCCACCAAGGCAGAGAGACAGGCAGGCTCAAGGCCATCTGTAACACCCTGGGTATAGATGTGGAAAACTACAGTGTGGGTTGTCCCAGTCGTAAAATAATTTCTGGAATTGCAAGTCTCCTTCTTCAATGTCAGCTGTTAAAAGGTATTGTTCTCTTCACTTGTTGGAGGCAGGAACAGCTGACTTGGGCAAACTTAGCAAGTCCTTTATATAGTAGGAATGAAGTCTCCAGAAAGAACACATGTGCAATCTCCAAGTGCAAACATGAAGGAATTACACCCAAGCTTTTGGAATGGCATAGGGCATTAAAGAGAGAATTTCTGATATTAATATAGCTTAAGAGTTCTCGGGAGTTTGCTCTCTCTCTCCCTCCTCTTTACAATCACATTGATTGTATGACTGTCATTTTTCCCAAGCAACTTATTTGCATTGGATTAATTGTACAGATATTCATGAGGATGCATAACAAAATTAAAAACGGAATAAGTATCCTTCCATTCACAGTTGAATGGCTTTGAAATCCAAACCTCATTGACACTGAGGCAGAAATTATTTGTTACTTCAGAGAGAAAGGAATAGCTGGGTCTGAATGTAACTTCAAATTCTGTATCTTTGAATATTCCTGGCCAGCCAGAAGTCAATCATTGTGATGTAATCATGGCCGGCCGGCCAGATATTGGAGGGAGGGAAATGACCACAAAGCAGTAGTGTAATACTGCAGGTGGTCATTTTATCTTTTCAGAGTGCACAGTGTGGCAAATTAAAATAGGAGTGTTCTGCTCAAACAGCAATACTAACCTCCTTTTAAAAGAGTTCACATTAGTTAAAAACGACTATTTTTGATATTCCCTCCCAGTCCCCAGTTCCCACTCTGATATTTAGGGCATACTGCCATAGGAATATAATTTGTTTAAAATTGTTATGGCTTCATGCATGTAGCATTAATAACTTAAAATGATTAATACATGAGAACAAACAACCACCACCAATATGAAACAAATGTCCAGCAAACATAAGCTCACCATGCACTTTTCTTTATAATTACAATGATCTTTTGAAGACCACTCAGGCAGAAAAATCTCACTTTTAAAGAGTTAAGGAGTCCTAGAAAATAAAAGTTTGGATACTTCTTCCGAGTCTTGTTTAAAAATAAACCTTTACACAAAAGAATGTTTTCTTAATTATAGCATTTTAAAAGGTGGACAGCTGTTTATACAAACTCTACAATCGTATGAATTACAGTATTCAATTTTATTTGTATTATAAGTTACATTTAGGTAATAAGACGTAAGGAGTGTTAGATGTTGGGATAGCAACAGGCTAGCTTTTTGCTGGGCTGACTGGCATCACACCAGAGACGGCTGAATCAATTTATCACATCTTAATGATACAGGTGAATATTTAGGTTTATAGATCTAAATTTTAAATTTCAGACCAAGGAAAATGTTTTATAATTAATATTCCAATGGAAACTTTGAAACACATACCGTGCAGTGTCTGAACATCCCAAACAGTGCAACATGCACTATTGTATGAAAACCAGAAAGTGAAACTGCTTACAATGTTGTCAAGAGAAATGCCAAAATCAGGGCAATCTGACAGATGTCTTTAAGTGGTAATGTGAAAAATATTCCTTTTATGGAAGTCTGTTTAATTTTCCTCATTGGATCCAAAAGCCCAACAGTCAACATGTTTCTCCCAAACAACAGGTCAACTGTGTTGCCATTTTAAGATGTTTACATAACATTTCTATATATTACTTTTTAGTGGCTTATTTGGAGCTTTAAAAACTTTTCAATACCATTACTTTAAGCATTCTAGTTTCACTTGTTTTCACTGGAAATTACACCTGAAATTGTTTACCAAATCAGAATGTATGAATTCCAAATGCTATTTCCTGCATTTTTTTTAAAGTAAAAAAGTGCAGTTTACACTTCAAAGATTAAACTATACTAGTCAGTTCAACCTCTTCAATCTTCTATGTTAACCAAAATAAATCTTTCAAGCGTATAAGTTGTTTCTAGACTTATTTCACGAATTAAAAGTTGACAGCTTTCTTGGTTGCCTTCAGTTAGTGGCTTTTCAATCAAATATTTTGGGAAACCCCCTTCATTAATTTCAGTTAAGTGGCAGGCAACCATGAATATGTACAAGTTATTAAACTGACATTACATTTAACATAAAAATGCTACTCAAAGCAAGAATATGCAAATCAGACAACTATGAGGCAAGCTTTCATGTAGTGCATTACTTTAAAAATTGGATCTGAAATCACAAACTAGGAATTAATCGCACAAACCAGCTTTTATCTGGGGTAGTAATATTTCATGCCTTATTTTGCAGATGCAGTTACCTCAGCTTGATTGAAGAAAGACCGCAGAAAGAAGCCAGAAATCCTGTAAACAGTGTGATTACCAGCAAGAAAGTGCAACAAAGACAGAAAAAAAAGAATGTTCATCTTTCACTAATAGCTTGAACATAACAGTGTAGTCTATATTTTGATTTACCACACTCAGCGGATCTCCATGATCCAAAAATTTACATGCTATTCATTTTAAAACCAACAGACATAGTATAAAGATGCTCACAAAATTGCAGTCCTTAAATTACATCCCCCTATTTTTAAACACGTTACTTTTAGAATTAATTCTTTGACTTAAGATGGGTAAATATCCAATACCACTTCACCTTTTTGTCCATAATATTTACTCTGAACTGTTTAGTATAAATGAATTTACCTTCACAGCAGCAGTCACTGCAGCAGTAGCTGCCAAATTTAAACCCTGTCTCCCAAAATTCACCATAGTTTCATAACCTCGTTCTTTGGCTTGTACAATATACCCATCGATCTCCTAAAAAAAAATCAAATCAAAATACATATTTAAGTTTGCACACAAAACCCCTGAAAGTCATAAAGTAGTATTACCCCATAGCATTATTTTATCATCAAAATTTTGATAGAAGACTTGAAGATGAAATATAAATATATTTTAAACTTATATTAAGTGTATTAGGCTATGTCTACACTACAGACCTTACAGTGGGACAGCTGTACAAATGCAGCTGCACCACTGTAAGATCTCTCGTGTAGCCGCTCTATGCCGACAGGAGAGAGAGCTCTCCTGTCAACATATTTAAACCACCCTTAATGGGCGGCAGCAGTAGTTACGTCAGTGGGCGAAGCACTGTGCATGCCACCACTTATGACGGTGAAACTTGTCATTCAGGGAGGTGTTTTTTCACGCCCCTGAGCAACATAAGTTTCACTGGCATAAGCGGTAGTGCAGACATGGCCTCAGTTAATATATTAACGTTTAAGCACAAAAAAAAAAAGATTTAATTCTTGCATTTAATGCCAAACTTTGAAAATAATAATTTCTTACCCGTTCCTTTGAAGAAAGAAGAGGATGGAGAAACTTCCTATACATTAAACTTGCCCCTCTAGTATATGGAGAGAGCAGCCAAATAACAAAAGCGATCTTCAACTCATAATACAATGGAAGCCTGCAGATAAAAAGTTATGCAAATACTCTGATAAGAAGGTAGATGTTAATTCACTACCAAAAACAAAGCCTTGTAAAAAAATGTGTAACAAGTTTGTTTTTTGCAACAAAATGTGACACTACCTTTTCATCTAAGGTTCTTAACATCTATATTGATTTAAAATTAATTATTTAAGAGAGCATTATCTGTTTCGTTGACTTTTATTTGGTTTTCATTTAATGTAATGCCATCAAAAGCAGAAAGGGTAAGAGATTTAAAAATCTTTCCATATTTTCTTGCAATACACTATTTTATTTATGACACCAGATTTTTTTTGCATGAGTTTTACAACTCCATTCTCCTCTCTTGTGCTTTACTGCATGAGTAGCATTTTTCTATCCCTACTCTGTAAGGAATTAAAAGGCACCACAAATTTAGAAATGGGGGACACTATTCATTATGCAAGTTCCTTACAGCAGTTCTTGGAAAGGTCACCTATAAATAAAAGTTGGTAATTACATTATCATCTCTACATTAAATCATCAGAAAAAAATTATACCATCCCATGTTCCATATTATGCAAAATCTTACCAAGAGATCATTAGGTCTGCTACTGTTTCAGTAACTGTATAAAGAGCAAACACAATCCAGTACATCATCCATCGAACCTGAGAATGAAAAGACATTATCTTTAATAGAAAAGTTTTAATTTAAATTTCCACTTCTAGAATAAAAAACGTTTAATTGCTGCTACAACACAAGAAATTGAGCAGTGTCTTTCCCTTGGTCATATTGAGTGACTTTTTTTTTATTTTTAAAAAACACCACACAACACAAACCCAAATTTCCAAATCACAAGAACAAGTAGGTTTTGTTTTGCTTTGCTGTTGTTCTGAGAAGATGGTCTGGAGGCAACTGTCTAAAGCTGCTGGTATTTTCAGCAATGTGATCCCTCCCAACCTGCCTTGACTGACAGGTCTGGTTCTGCTTCCAACCAGCTGCAAACAGGGGAAAAAACCATTGTGTAATTAAGCTGTGGAACTTCTCTACAAAATGGTCATCGAGTGGAAACTCATACTGTGTCTGCTCTCCACTGCCAAAAACAGAGAATCAGACTTGAAAACAACGAGTCATTAAGATGCCCTTTTCAAAAAGCGAATCTTTACTAAACAAGAGAGCCCCGAAAAGCCTAAACTAAAATCTTCTCCCCACTATGTGCAGCTAAAAATGATTAAATGTTCATTTTCCATCATGGTTCTACAAAATAGCTTCTTCTCCACAAGGCTGTAGGTGGAAGAGAATTCCCATTATGCTGGATACAACAATATGAAATTAGGATGGTAAACTGGTGAAGTCTCTAATGCAGGGGTGGCCAGCCAGCAGCTACGGAGCCGCATGCAGCTCTTCAAAAGATAATATGTGGCTCCTGCCAGGAACCAACTCGGGGGGGGGGGGGGGAATGGTGGGTGCTCAGCATCCACCAGCAGCCCCTGTCAGCCCCCTACCCTTCCCCCAGCACCTTCTGCCTGCAGACACTCCCCGCCCCCCCCCCATGAGCATCTGCCCCTCCCTCACGCCATGATCAGCTGTTTTGCAGCATTGAGGCACCTCTGGGAAGGAGGCACAAGGACACAATGCCCAACCCCTCCCCTGCCGCGATCAGCTGTTTCGCAGCATTGGAGGCAGCTCGGGGGAAGGGAGGGAGGGGGGCTGGGTGCTGCAGCCTTGCTCCTCCCCCTCCCCGGAAGAGCATCGAAGCTGTGAAACAGCTGATCGCAGCTGGGAGAGGGAGGAGTAAGGTCCTCAGTCCCCTTGCCTGCAGCAATCAGCTGTTTCATACCAGCAGGAGACTCTGGAAGGGAGAGGGGGAGGAGCAAGGACACAGCTCACTGGGGGAAGGGGCGGCATGGAGCAGGAAGAGGCAGGTGGGGGTGTGGACTTGGTGAAAGGCCAGCAACCCCTGGCTGGAGCCTGTGTCTCCTTGAATAAAGTACACAGTGACTAGCTGGTGTGGAAATATTTAATCAAAACTTCTCTTACCCATCTAACAATGGAAGGCAAGTGCAAACGGAAAAAGAAAATACAGATGAAAAAAATCAAGGCTTCCAACAGGTGGGAGAATAAAGTACTTTTTTGTTGAACATAATAAGGCCATGTGTCTTCTTTGCCAGATATGCATCTCTCAGTTCAAATCTTCAAACTTGCAGCATCATTCCGCTTCTAGCCATGTATATATGGATCAAGAATTCCCACAAGGTTCTGAACGCCACACTTTAACTGAAAACTTTGGGGGGGGGGGGAGGGATGACACCCACCTCTCAGATGTAGAAGCCCAGTTCCCCACCAGATTTGCCAACCGATCACAGACTGTAACGTTAGCCTCCTATTACGTGGCCTGGCACATAACCCATGCAAAAAATCCCTACTCTGAAAGTGAGTTTATAAAAATGTGCTTCACTAATGTGATTTCAAACCTGTCACCGAAGAAAGAATCTACAGAAGAAAATTTCTGGCCTGCAGCTTTCATGCCACACAATAGAACGCAGAATCTCCGACCTGAACAGCGACATTGAATCACAACTGCAATTGCAACTTCAGCAGTGAGAGTATTTGAGCATCTCTTTGCATGAGTCATGCGATATACAAGATAAACCTCAATTATTGGTATTTGTCCAGACTGTGTCTGACAACTGTGTTGTAAGGAAAGAACTCCTCGATATCATGCCACTGAAGGACACCACTTCCCTTTACAGAAGCTCACTGCCATCAAGGGGTGGCAATATCACCCCCTAATCCAAATCTCCTATTAAAGGAGAGAATTACCCACTGCCATGTGAGAGATAAAAGAACAAAGCCACTGAATAGCTACCCCATCCACTATCACCAAGGTCTGCAGGTGAGTCAACAGGACCTTATGATTAAAAGTACTGAAGGTATCAGATAATTCCAATATCAGCGAAGACACATTGGCAATGAGTGAAGATAAAGGAGATTGGTTGCATTGACTAATGCAGTCTGTGACAAAACCACATCTGTACTAAGACTGACAATAACCAAAAGAGACCTGAAGCATCTAGATAAAAAGAGTCCTCACTACAACCTCTCTCAAAAAAGTAAGATGTGATATATTACTGGCCACAGTCAATATCAAACAATTGTTTCATGAACAAAGGCCATACCACTGCTTCCTTCAAGGCAGTAGCCTCTAAACTTTAAGGAAGACGTTTATGATCTGCATCAACAATAGATGAAGAACTTTACCAGCTAAGGCAGACATGGGTTTAAGGCACAGATGTAAAACAAATTTCTCTCAACATTTCAAATCTCTCACTGGGTGACAATTCCTCAACTAAAAGACTTTATATACCTTCCTCCTCCCCCACACCACAACCTGGGCTCCTGTACTTGCCTAAGGAAGTTACGGCAGCTTAGAGTCAGCAGAATCCAGAACTCCCCACAATATTAACACCTCCTATTGAATTAACACAGAGGTGGGCAAACCACAGCCCACATCCAGACTGTGGGACCACCCTGCCCGGCCCCTGAGCTCCCGGCTGAGGAGGCTAGCCCCCGCAGCCACGCAGGCAGCATAGCTTGCGCCCACCCACCTCCCAGGCTTTCCAATAAGCCTGTCCTGCTGCTCAGAGTGGCATGGTAAGGGGGCAGGGGAGAAGGGTACTGGATAAGGAGCAGGAGGTCCCAGGGGGTACTCAGAGGGCAGGTGGATGGGGCATAGGTGGGGAGGAAAGTCAGGAAACAGGGAATGGGGGGGGGCCTGGATAGGGGGTGTGGTCCCAGGAGGGGGAGGACAGGGACCCGGGGGGAGTGGGGGGGGTTGGATAGGGTGTGGCGTCCTGAGGGGGCAGTTAGGGACGGGGGTCCTGGGAGGGGGTGGTCAGGGGACAAGGAGTGTGGGGGGGGAAATGGATGGGTCAGGGGTCCCAGGGGGCCTGTCAGGGGGCAGGGTTGTGGATAGGGGTCAGGGCAGTCGGGACAGGGAGGGTTGGATAGGAGGTGGGTTCCCGGGGCCGCGGTTAGGGCCAGACTGTTTGCAGAGGCACAGTCTTCCCTACCTGGCCCTCCATACCATTTCACAACCCCAGCGTGGCCCTCGGGCCAAAAAGTTTGCCCACTCCTGAAGTAACAGGTTTATCTTTGTAAACAGGCAAGCAAAAACAGGTCGGACAAGGACTGTGCTAGTCCAAAATGATTAATGTCTGCTTGAAGGACCATCTTTTTCCTCAAAGTAGTTGAGTAAGGAGATCTACATTTTGTAAAATAGAATGACTTCAAGGAATTGTATTAAACTATGATGTAAATAACAGGGATCAAAAAAAGGTTAAGGACAGAGACTGACTGGCACAGATATGACACTTCACAGTCACTGTGATGCTGACTAGCACATGAGACAGTTCTGATGTCCCATTCTCCAGAAAAACTACTACTGCAAAAAGTAAGAAGTCTGTAGATTTGCTATAGTAGCCATACTCTAAAAACCAAGTCCCTATTCATATATCTAGAGGCCTGCTTCTAAAAAAGCCAATCAGACATCATTCTGAAGGACTATATATTACCAATAAGATCTGATAAGCACATGCAACCAAAACATATTCTTTCACTATTGTGCTCCATATTGCTCATGTCAGGTTTAGACTGCACTGACCATTTCATTAAAATCACAGCTCTAAACTCTATTACTTTGGTGGACTTTTTTAAACCCAATTTATTCCCAGTAAGTAAAGGAAAGACAAGGGATTTGGTTATGTGATGGAAGCCAGTTACATAATCTCCAGACATACGAATTCTCTCCTCTGCAATAAAACCTCATTTTCAGTACAGAATGCTGTCTACCGGTGCCAGTTAACAAGTCACTCTTAAAATTGAACATAACTATACTTGATTTTTAGGCTTATACGGTAGTATACAGCCAAACACCCTAATTTGTGGAAGACGTTCTGCAAGTTGTCAGTAAAGGTAATACATATCTATAGCACTGCTTGCCACAAGCAAAGAGTGGCCTGCTCTTAAGTTATGCAGATGAATGAAAATATTTTTACTACCAAGATTATGTAGATATAGCTGTGAGTAAAGTTAAGTACATACGTGTTTGTAGCTTAAGGGGCTAAAATTTTATTTTTATTAAAAATTTCAGAGGAATAAAGTTTGTCACTTCTAAACAAAACTCCTTCAGTGTTAACAACATTTAGACTTCCAATATATTAGAGCTATTCTGAACATACACACCCCTCCCCACCCACTCCTGAAGTGTTCAGAAATAGAAATAGGGTCCTAAACCCATGCTGAAGTGTTCAAATACGGATTTTTTCCTATATGACATGAATGATTCAGGTGTCAGAAAAAAGTCTGTAAATCTGAAGTGATAATTTAGTAAGTTTCATGCTTCAAATGTTCATCTGCAATGAAAAAGACAAGTATGGGGGCGCCTCATTAGCATCCTTACTGTGGTAACACCACAAACTCAAATGCAATTGATAAGCAAATACCTCATTCTATATTTGCAACTACCACCACCCTTATATTGTACTTCCACAAGTTGGGAAAGCCAAAATGCTTCAGCCAGATTTATACTTCATCAGGGTTTGTAGTTGGAACACAGGCTCCAGAATGACTTCAAATGACTTAGGAGCACAAATTTCGGTACTATTGT